TCTCCACCCAGCCCACCCCAGCCCAACCAGCCTCACCAAGAACCCCCTATCTGGCTTTCTGGAAGGTGAGCTGGTTCATGTCATCTTTAGCTGAGCACCAAGGACAGGTGCCCCGTGGCCTAGTTAAAGAATACGACACTGAAGACTCAGCCACTCCCTTAAGTAGAGCTTCGCTCTCAGGGTGGAGCGATTCAGTCCTCTCTGGGACTGACTGTCCTTCCAGCCCATGGCTTGGGGCAAAGCTGCCGACAGAGCTATGGTTCAGTTCCATCAGCAAACACTCTCTGTAGACTCATGCAGCTGATGGCGAGCCCTGCCCGGCAGAGTCCGAGTGGAGTGTGTGCTCTGCAGGCTCTGCGCCTTGTGCTGGGCTGTGCAGTACCAGGGGCAGCTCCTTCCTGGGCAGCCACTATCCACTGGAGCTGATTGATCCCCACCCGGACATCTGTCCTGTCTGCGGACAGTTGAGGATGTCACATGGGGCAGGGCGCCTGGCATTGGTTTGACAGGTGCAGACTGTCCAGCTTGTACCAAACCTGCCTGCCCAGCCAAAAGTGTTGAAAGAGGCTCCCCAAACATGGTCCTCCCCTGGGTCAGCTGTGGTTCTGAGACTCCCCTGCCCAGAGCCTCTGACAGAATGTGTTTTCTCTCTCCCTTACAAGCGGTACGTGGATGGAGGGTTTACTAACAGTGTACCCTGCTTTGATGACAAGACGACCATCACCGTGTCCCCGTTCTTTGGGGAGCATGACATCTGTCCTAAGGTCAAGTCCACGAACTTCCTGTATATGGACGTGTCCAAGATCAGTCTCCGCTTCTGCTTAGAGAACGTCCAGCTGATAAGGCAAATGGTGTTCCCCCCAGATGTCAAGGTGAGTGGGGCTGTTTGTGCAGCTCTGTGCTCCTAGGGACCCACCAGTGTGGTTCACTACACAGACAACCCAAAGCAGACCCCTCAGGGAATAGGTGCCCCCCTCTGATTTTGAGAATCATCTGGGGACATTTAAACTGGGCTGCCCAAAGCGTAACAGATCTACCGAATACACGGTCACAAACCCAAGCAGGCACCCTGAATGGAGAGATGAAAAAACAACCCC